TTGATACTGGTTTTTGTGTTGGCGTTGTTGTTATTGATACCGGTTTTTGTGTTGGCGTTGTTGTTATTGATACTGGTTTTTGTGTTGGCGTTGTTTTTATTGATACCAGTTTTTGTGTTGGCGTTGTTGTTATTGATACCAGTTTTTTTGTTGCCGTTGTTGTTATTGATACCAGTTTTTTTGTTGGCGTTGTTCTTATTGCTACTCATTTTTGTGTTGATGTTGTTCTTATTGATTCCCGTTCTTGTGTTGGCGTGTATTTGTTTTGCTTTATCTTTTCCCTTCAAACCGGCATATTTATAGTTGTGTTTTTGCTGCTTCCCGAAATGCTTACAATTGATTCTTTCATTTGAATTGGAATTAGAAGCTTGGTATGTGGTGTTGCCTACATTTTTGCTGCTTAGATTTGCTATGTATTTTTGAACATACTTTCTATTATTTATATTGTTCAATATTTTGATGTAGTCGGCCAGGGTTATGTTATCATCGGATGTTAAAAGAATATCATTAATTTTGAGTTCTGTGTAGACATTGACTACTCTTCCAATTCCTATTTTGTTTTTCTCCTTGTGCTTGAAGAATACTACGTCATTGTGTTCGAAGGCGGTTAATTTATTCTTTTCTTCATGTTGAGTGTTTTCATGTTGATTTTTATTTCTTTTAATGCTTCCCATTTAGTTAAAGGTAGTAAATGTTCTTTACTTTTTCTCGAATAAAACGAACACACTAGAGAGGTGGCATATGGGGGGATGATGAAGCCGTTCAGATGGAATTACTGAAGATTCGCTAATTGTATTCATCTGATAGTTCTTACTAGCAGCAGGGGGTGAATACAATTGGGTGTTTCATTTTAAAAAGAAGAAGAAGAAAAAGAAGAGGAAGAGGAAGAAGAGGAAGAGAAAGAAGAAGAAGTCGTGTATAGGAGATGGGAGAAAACACGACGGGAATTGTTTTATCCTTAAAGTATGACAGTTGGAAAATTAAAAAAAGAAGGTTAAAGCGGTTGGCGGGTAAACAGCGGGTGGTGAACCGGTGATAGAATTGGAAGACTGGGAAAAGCGTAATAATGTGTGTTTTACGCGATATTTACAATTGTACGTTTTTTTCTCTTTTTCTTTACACACATTATATGCATATTTCTGTGTAAATATGGACGATTTGACATGGTGGTGGAGAACAGAAAGAGTGTGAATATGTGTTAACAGTTCATACTCCAATAATCGTTTTGCAGGTTTTCAGACAAAAAAAAAGAGAAGTTGACACATACATTTTGAAACGTGATTGTACATTAGGGGTACCTGCGGCGGCCAAAATGATGATTTCACATGGCGCGAAATGGAGATTTACCGACAGTACACGTAAATACACAGGCGCATATTTAAATATATATATAATACAAATATATATGTACATATCTTTATACACAAATTCGTACACTACGTATGTTTTCACTTGTGTGTACGAATATGTGTATACGTTATACAGAGGCCGGTGCGCATACGCATATGCATACATGCAATTGCGTCATCAAGAGAGAAAAATGAGCAGGATAAATGATATGCATTTTTTTATTACTACAGAAAAAAAAGAAGAAAAAAAGAAAAAAAAGAAACAAGAGAAGAGGAAAAAACCAAGGGAAAGTGATTATGCCATTTTAGCCATTTTAAAATGTTGACACAAATGCGGAAGGAGTGAATTACACTAAAAGGGTGCACATTCTTTTTTTTTTTCTGCAACATTTACGTATGTGCGATGGGTTCTTCGCACTATCCCATTCTGTAAAAACCACGTAGAGTGTACACAATGTCAAGAATTCTGCACAATTATGTTGAGCGGGACGTGAAGCGGCCGCTTGGAACAACGAATCAGCAGAACACAGAGAAATTCTTCTAAGGTGTTGGTGCAGCTACGAGCAAGATGCAATATATTCACATGCACGCTCATATACTGTAACGTGTGTATTCATAAGTCGTTTTTGCGCAGTAGTAGGTGGCCAACTGGAGAAACACGAAGCAGGATAATTTAAAAAAACAAAAAGAAGCAGGTGAAAATGGTACGAAGTGGCGCAGAATGGCGGAAAAACGACACAAGCAGCATCAGTAGAGAGCGACAAAATAGGGCGGAATAAGGGCCACATACATAAAGGCGCGAGAAGGGATAAGTATGCCAAACAGAAAAAAAAGAATTCGAAGCATCCCATAAATGGTAAAAAAAAAGAAGTTATTGTTAAAAAGAAACTAAAGGTGGTGTTTTAATAATTTTCACTTTTCCCATTTCGGGGAAGCGTATTTCAAAAAAGCTCTGGGAAGCCGTTTGTGTACTTCAAACAAAGCTACGAAAAAAGTACCATTGAGAAAGAGCATACCGCAACTTAATTATAAGCATTTAAAAAAGAAGGAAACGAAGCGAAAGGGAGCGACGCGACGGGACGCGAAATGGGTTAACTGTCAGAATAAATTTTACTTAAGCTGCCTGGCTTATTCAACCCACTCTGGGCTTGGTGAATTAATTTTAATTCAGATAATTCGACAGTTTGCTAACCGACTTTTGCAATTTTTATGCTTGTCCCTTTTCTTTAATTTCGCCCTTCTGCAAAAATGTATGCAGCATGCATAGTTACTTAAGGAAACGTAGAAATTAAAGAAGCATAATCGAAAAAAAGTTACGTGCGTCCGCAGTTTTACGCATTCGGCGAAGAGAAATGTATTCCCGGGGCGCTCCCAGGGCATAAATAAAAGAGAGAGAGAAAGAAAAAAGTCCATAACTGAATGAGCATAGTCAATAGGTACTCAGAATGTATGCCCAACTGAACAGAAGCAAAAAGAAGAAAAAAGATATCGACGATGAAAAGTTAAATGTAGGGGCGGAGAGAAGTTGCATAAAATTCGCCCCCTAAAAGACGCAATCAGGCAACATGACAGGGCACGAATAGTACCTAACTGTGTGTACACTTGTGCATATGTACGCGTATATGCCCATATGAGTGCTGCTGTGTGTAGGAAACACCCCGTCGCCCGTCTACGGCAGACGCCCTTAGATTTTCAAGCCGCCATGATTCACACACATTTCGACGCTATTTATGCAACGCTTCCCCCTTTTGCGCAGGAGCAAGAAGCTGCGAAAATTTACGCAGAGTTTGTCCGGTCCTTTGAGGGAAGTGCCTTGGGAAAGGGAAACAAATTCGTTAAAAGTAATAAAGAAAAAAGAAAAAAGAAAAAAAAAAAGAAAAAAAGAAAAAAAGAAAGAAAGAAAAAAATAAGGAGAAAAGAAAAAGTTAGTTTCATATAATACAATTTAATTTAACCGAACTGAACTGTCGCACAACCGAGGTGGTCGCGTAATTACGTGTCCCCGAATCGCCGCTTTTATGTGTCAACCGCTTTTCCTTGCCAACACATTTGAATAGGTGGAAAAGTGTTGAACCCCTCCAGCACTCAGTTTCTGCCGGCTGAAGATGAAAACAGAAAGAAGCTCAAAAGCAAATTCAGCAGGGTAAGAATTGTAAAATCATCGACGTGTACATGTGCGTGGGAATTTGAATATTCTCGGAAAGTGAATTTTCAATGGAAAGAAAATATTGTGTGTGATAGCATACATATGTTGAAAAAGGCAGGTTACCACGCTGTGAACACTTTACATTTCACGCGACGCGCCCCTCCCGATTTATTGCAGGGTGATAACTCGTATGAAGAAAAAAAGAAGAAGGAAGAAAAAACAGACAACAACAAAAGTGGTACAGGGAAAGTAAAGGAAATTGATAGTTTTTTAGAAGGTTACACATTTCATATAATTAAAAAAAGAAATGTTTTTAAAAAAATATATCTGCAAAGAGTTTTACACTTTGTATTTCATTTTTTCGTATAAATAGTAACAAATTTTTTCTTTTTCTATTTTTTTAAAAAATGTATATATTTATTTATTATTAAAGAACTTAAGTTAAAGCAGAAAATTTTGGATGAGAGGAAAAATTTGAAAGAGAAAGCCCAGCTAGCTAAATCTGAAGACGAGAAACTTAAAATTAAGAGAAAGCTAATAGAGATCGAAAAAAATGAAACGCTCTTTTCGTACGCCCCAAGAAATGACTGGGTGCCGAACTTGTATCTGGGCAATTTATCTCCCGAGGTAGGAAAAGCGTTTATAGACAGTAGTCTCGTGGATCGTCACTGTGCAGTTACATGTGTGTTTAAATATGGATAGCATATTAACCCCGTACGAGTGCATACGGATTGGTGTGATGGAAAATAGTCGATATTAATGTGCAAAATGGAGAGATTATGCTGACAGAATATGAAATGCATGGATTTTTGTCCTTGTTTTCCCTGTTCGTAGGTCACCGAGGAGTACCTGTGCCAACGGTTTGGAAAATTTGGAAAAGTAAACAGCGTGAAAATTATGTATCCACGAAGAGATGAAGATAAAAAGAAGTCTAGAATTAGCGGATTTGTCTGTTTTGAAAGTAGAGATGATGCAGAAAATGCCAGGAATTCCCTGGATGGTGTAGAAATGTTCGGAAATATTGTGAAGGTCGGTTGGAGTAAAGCCATACCCAAAAATTTAAACACCAACAAAACTGAATATAACCAGTTTTACCATGAAAAAAGTAACTTCCATGATTTGGGTTTGAATAAAAAAATAGAGATACTACTACCAGAGAATAGGAAGACGAAGAAAATAATTGATTTGTTAGCCAAGTATGTTACAGAGGAAGGATACACATTTGAAGAAGCTATAAAAAAGAATGAGGAGGATAATCCGGTGTTTTCATTTCTCTTTAACACTTCGGATTTGTTTTATTACTACAAGTGGAGAGTCTTTTCTTTCGCTCAAGGAGATAGTTACAAAAATTGGAGAGCGGACCCGTTTCAGATGTTCGAAAATAGTTACGTGTATGTGCCACCGATACAAAAGAACCCCAAAAAGGTCATTTCAAAGAAAGAGAAAAGGTAATATTTTATCGAGAGAATTTCGCTCACGGGTTGCAAAATGGTATTTTAAGAAAGTCTGCACGTACGATACGGTGACGATTGGTGGTGTGCTTGACTCTTCGATGTGTTGTGAAGTGGAATATACAGCTAGCCCGTTTGAAACGTTTCATTTATCGGTATGTTGGCCCTTTCTTTTCTTTTTCCCTTTTAGCAGCAGAAACAAGAAGAACAAAATAGACGAGAAAAAGAAGGAAAAGCTAATTAACATTATAAACAACCTGAATAGGAAGAGGTAGGGCGAAGGGCTTTTATTCCGTCTAGTGCATCTCGCGAAAGGAGTGTCACTTCAGTTTATCTCTTATTCGCAAGTGCCTGCCTGTATATGTAGCTATGAATATCCACTACATCGATCACTTCTGCTGCAGGGTGAGCATATGTCGCGCCATGATATTCTGCACACGGCATAGCGACTTCAGCGGGGACATTGTGAAAACCATTTCGAATTATTTGACGGATTTGAAGTACGACATGTTGAAAAAGGTACCAATGAGTGTTTGTAAAATTGTAAAGCAGGGACTCTTACTCCATTCATTCGGCTCTCTCGGCGCACGGCATGCATATTAAGATGCACGTCATTCCCGCCACACGTTTTCCTTTTTCCCCCATCCCGTGCAGATAAACCTGGTTTATTTACTGTCAGACATTCTATACAACTGCAGCAACCAGTTTTACTCGTCCTGGTCTTACCG